TGAATTTTGTCTCTCTTGAGATAGTTTCCCTCGAAGTAGAAAATTTTGTCTCTCTTGAGACAGTTCTCTTGAAACATAAACATTGAAAACATTTCCCATGAAATGAATTTTGTCTCTCTTGAGATAATTTCATTTTAATCAAATTTTGTCTCCCTTGAGACAGTTTCTCTTGAAACATAAACATTGAAAACATTTCCCTTGAAATGAATTTTTATCTCTCTTGAGAAGTTTCCCTTGAAACAAATTTTGTCTCCCTTGAGATAGTTTCTCTTGAAACATAAACTTTGAAAACAGTTTCCCTTAAAACAAAATCTTTGAATTTGTTTTTCTTGAAACAAATTTTGTCTCCCTTGAGACAGTTTCTTTTAAAAACAAATTTTGTCTCTCTTGAGACATTTTCTCTTGAAACACAAAATCTTTGAATTTATTTCCCTTAAAATAAAATTTTGTCTACCTTGAGACCGTTTCTCATGAAACAACAAATATCTTTGAAATCGTTTCCCTTGAAATGAATTATGTCTCTTTTGATATAACTTCTCTTGAAGCATCATTTGAATCATGTCATTTAAATCAGAGCTCGATGTCGAATCAACCACATGATGAAGTCCAGAAACTACTTCCTAATACTCTGAGTTCGATTTCAACTTCGCGACAAAGGATTTTATGCTCAGAATTTTCCAATTTCGACTTAACCTCACGATGAGGGAGTCATTTTGTGATTCAATTCAAATTGACAAACCAGTCATTACATCGGATTTCAATTCTATAACAGAGGATGTTCGATATGGATGAAATTTGTGTCTTTTAATCTTTGCTCTATTTTCGTTACACGATAATGAACAAAGAGGGGCAGCTATAGACACACATTTTTCGTCAATAATCATTTTATTATAAAATATATTATATATAATATATGATTGATTATATTATATACTAATTTATTTATTATTTTATTTACAGGATCAGGCCTTAGGCCCAAATACGAATAAAAAATACAACCTAACAGTGCACCCCCATAACCCGATTTAGATTAGGGTTGGTTGGAAACCCTAGCCCCATCTGCTCATCAGCGCCGCATGGAGTCATCACCCATGGCCGAGAGTCTCACGCCTCACGCCTTCCTCTCCGAGTTTCACGGCCGCACGTCACTCTCCTCTAACAGTCCCGCAACCCCCGGCGCACGCACAAACAACAGGCATCAGTGTTATACTCAGAATCAAACGCTCAATATAGCCTAAAAATAGGATTTTTTTACTTATAAATTGATGTAAACTGAGCACAAGGGGGGTACGCGAAAAAAGCACGATTACACGCACACAAAGCCATAAGAAAATCACACGAAACACTTAGAGAGATATACAAGCAATCAAGGCATTTGTAAAGTGTTTTTCGAAAAGGAAATAAAAGAAAGGTATTTTTTACCTTTTTGTTCATTTTGTTGTCCTTGCATGTTGATTCTTGTTTGCGTTTTGGCTCGGAAACAATCAAAATCTGCTCGGTCGAGGATCGGAGAAGAGAAAAATACAAGGGAGAAGAACAGGAGGATACGAGTAAAAAATATAAACGTGGTTTCAAGTTTCCTTACACTGTTCGACGGGATTCAGTGCCAAGGAGAGCCTTGGTGCTCCATTTCTTGCGCATTTGAGCCCGATGATAAACCCAAGAGAATCCCAGGAAATGGGTTTTACCAGAGAGCATTTTCTCTGTTTCGTACATGCCGCGTTGAAGTCAAATATGGTACAAGAACCTATTTCAATTTTCAAATCCCAGTTTTATTTTTTAATGTAAAAGAATGCCAAAAGAAAAATCCAAACGAATCACGCGTGAAAATCAAGGGATTTTTGAGTTTTATATAATTTTTGGGTTAACTAGGGAAAGCGTCATTAGAGAGTTCCATATTTGTAGCTCTGGAGTTATGTTTTTATTTCTTTCAATTTGGTCACTAATTGCATTTGTTTTACTTTGGACTCTCTATTTTACTTTTATTTAAATTTAGTCATTTTTGTTTTATTTATTATTTTTTCTTTCAAGGTTTAAGTTTAAATATTTTATTTTATTTTATTTTATTCTTATTTTTATTTTATTTTTTTAATTAACCCTTTTACTTTTTTATTGTATTCATTTTATTTTCTTTCTTTCTTTATTTTTTATTTTTGTTTATTTTCTTTTTTACTAACTTTTAATTATCTCTGTTACTTATTTTATCTTAGAATTTTTTCCTCGTATTTATTTTTATTTTATCATCCAACATTTTTTGGCATTTTCAGTGATAATTTCAATCGATCAAAGGTAATAATTCAAATCGAATATTTCAAGTTTTAATTTAAATTTCTAATTTTCGCAATTAAGACAACCGATAAATTAATTGGTACCGAAAGGGCGGTTCAAGGTACTAATCCTTCCTTGACTGTAACCGACTCTCGAACCCGACACATTTCTGATATAACGCAGATCAGGTAAGATGGTGTCCGACCCACCTAAATTCGTTTTAAAATGGTCGGTAGCGACTCTAACCCAATCAATTCAAGTCGAAGCTCAGTTTCGGGCCCAACCGAAAGACGGTTCCGACAATAGTATTATAATTTATAATTATATATAGTATATAAATATAAACTATACAGTTTATATATAGTTCATATATAATTTATATAGTTTATTAGTTTATATATATAATTCATATGTAAACTATATAATTTATTTAGTTTATATATATAGTTTATATATAGTTTATATACTACTATGTATAAACTATATATAATTATATAAATTAACTCTAAACTATATATATATATTATATATATATATACTATATAGTTTATATATAAACTATATAATAATATATTATATATAAACTATATATTTATATACAATATATAAACTATATAGTTTATACATAGTAATATATAAGTATAAACTATATAGTTTATATATAATTTATATTAATAAATTATATAATTTATACATAGTATATATAATTTATAATTATATATAGTATATATATATAAGCTATATAGTTTATATATTGTATATAAATATAAACTATATTTATAAACAATATATACACTATATAGTTATATATATATATATATACTATGTATAATTCTAAATTATATATACTATATAAATTATATAGTTTATTAATATAAATCATATAGTTTATATATTGTATATATTTAGTTTATATATATATATATATTATAATTATTTCAATTTTTTCTCAACTTTTAAAATGAATACAATTTAATCTATTTTACATATTTTTCACATTTTACAATTATTTCGATTTGATTCCTTTGTGTTGTTTAATTTATTTAAATTTTATTTATAATTTCATATTTATTCAATTTAATCCTTAAAATTATGTTTGTGAACGAAATTGGACATACTTACTACTTATTTATATTTTTGTAATTGGCCCATAACTTTTTAAATTGGTATAATTTAATACTTTTTATATTAATTTCAACCTCACATTTTAAAATCATTTCGATTTTGTTCCCTCATCAATGCATGTTGTTTAATTTATTTAAATTTTTACTTGTAATTTCATATTGGTTCAATTTTATCCTTAAAATTATATTTTTATCAAAATTAATCCAGAATTATTTATATTTTTAGTAATTTACTCTAAATCCTATACAATTACAAATCGCAATTCAATCTTCATGAAAGACGAAAAACAATTAATCTAAAAATAAAAAATGACCCGACCAGAAGTCAATTCGTATTTGGTAAAGTTTCGACTTGAATTTTATCTGTCAATGATATGACTGATCTGAATGAGATCTGACTAAAGGTTATCCAAACCTAAATTAACTTGGTGTTTAACTGTTCCGAACCTGAACCGTTTTGACCTAAACTGACATCGATATGAACTTAAATTAACCCGACCTGAACCCGAACTGAATCTGATGTCAAATCAACCTGAAAATAACCCGAATTGATTTGACATAAACCCGACCTGATCCGAGTCCAACCATCAAAATGACCTGACACAACCTGTATCCGATTTTACTTGACCTGACAGGATCCGACTGAAACCTGAACGATTACCTGATTTTACATCCCTACAAGAAATGAACAATATAAGATTAACAATGATGGCATTGGCATGGTAGGGTAAGGGGGTGTTGAAGGTCTTTCACCAACTTCATATAGGGTAAGGGGGTGTTGAAGGTCTCTCGCCAACTTCATATGGGTATGTCTCAACAGGATTTGGCTATCAATATGAAGGCTCCTGATCCTCAATAACCAGACCATTGCCTATTGTCCCCAATGCCAACTCATTGAAATAACCTACCATTGCTCCGAAACTTGCCCACCATGTTGGAAGACAAAAGCAAAGTTTAAAAAAACCGTTGCATGCCTCTAATTGTTATTTTAAAAAGAGAAAAAAGAAAATGAAACGAGACATACGACGGTTTCTTTAACTAGCTTACGAAGTTAAAAATCTCTGCCATAAATAGAAATAGAAAGAACCTCTTAGTGCTTCTTTAGGAAAGCCAGGATTCAATGTGAAAGAATTGAGAAGTTTAGGTAAGCGAACATGTTGTTAGGGCAGTTAGTGAATAGAATCAATCAGTGCTACAACTAAAGTAAAATTTAAGAAGGCAAAAGGTTTGAGAATAGAATTAATGCTTGCACTAGAATAAAGCATAAAAACCTAAAGCTTGGATCATGGTCCACTAATTTAGCCATCATCAACAACATGAAAGCATGAGTGCATGACTTAACTACCACTAAACTAGCCATAAAAAAAACAACATAACAAACATCCAACTTTTCCATGGCCAAAAAACACACGAACATGGCCTAACCAAAGTAGTTTATTTCCTAAAAATTAAGGCACTAACACATGTTTAAAAAATGCATGCTTAACACCACTAAACGCGACTGAGTGTTCTACCATCGTGATTAAGTTATATGGATGACCTGAAATCTGACCATCAATATTAAAAAGCAATAAGGTAATTAGAACACTAGATTTGTGTTGGTCCAAGGGAAAGAAGATACAAAGAAAAATTCAACACTAGCCAAAAACTGTACATTCTGAAGAATTATACAATCAGAAAATGATACAAGATATATATCATTCAAATGATAATAATCAAACCTAAGAAACTAGATCATGAAAATTAGTGAAGGAGCCAAACAAAATCACCAACTACATTTAGTAACATTATGATGATATGTTCCCAAATTCCGGTAAGCAAATCCATCCCAGGGAAGGGGAAAGAATCTTACCAGGTAGAATACAAACCCGGATGCGAAAAGAGAGCAGAAAATCCGAGTTTCATTTCTTCCTTCTATGTGCTCTAGATCTTGAGAACATCGACAGTTTCACTCCGAACAATGACTTATGAGACTTATTGTCTTTAGAATAGTTGCTAGCATCTTTGGATGAAACATCGTCAGATTGGAGGCGGTCTTGTTCCTCATCATCATTGTTAGTATCTCTAAGCAGACGCAGCAATTCCATCGCACTTGCCTTTCCTTTATCACTCCCATTAACAGAAACATCAAAAAGGGAAGGGAATATATCACATTCATCCATCACTAATTGACAATATTCAACACGTTGAGAGCACAATGCGAGGAGAATAGCCAGTGCATGTTCTTGGTCCTCATGACTGCCGGTCTCAATTAACATGGCAATAGAAGTAATGCATCCAGGAGTTTCAGTAATGGAAAGCCGGGCCTCTTGGTTATTGCACAAATTTCTCAACACACTATGCAGTGCCTCGCAAGAGTAGCGTCTTCTAGAAACGGGACAAACTTTGGGATGCATTCCAAAGATGCTAAATTGGAACAAATGTCATGGCTTGAGGACAGATTGTGCAAAATTTTAATGACTTGCACCTGGAACTCTGTGATCTTTGAGTCAAGAATATTTAAAATGGAAATAAGAGCACCAGATGCAGCAATCTTAGATTTGCAACTGCTTTGGCCAGATAATACTTCTATAATGTCAAGAACCTCTTTAGTCACTTCTGAGTTGAGAGACAATGACAGCAGGCTATATGCATCTTCATTTAAGTACCGTATTCCATTCCTGCAAGAACCTCACAAAGAAATGAAAAAGTCACAATAAGCCCCCCTATTTCAAAAGCTCTGTGCGCATGAACAAAGTAAAGTATAATAAAGGCAATCAAATGTCACTTTAAATTATCAAAACGACATGCAGTTCAGTGACAGACATCTCACGCTTTGTGAGAGCATGTGACTTATCCAGAAGTCTTTTAGTCTCACATGGAAAAATACTGATAACAAAATTACGGAATACCAAATTCAAGAAGCTCATTGAACTTGAGCACAGTTTGGAAAATAGGAAACAATAAAAAAAATCCAAACTAATGACATCTAAGATCATAAAACATGGTGCAGATGCAGCAAAAGTATGGACTAATTACCTGTTTTTGTTCAAAAACATCAATAACAACTGAAATCCAGCTCTTTGTGCTCTAATATCACCCATATCAAGAGCACAGCTCAAAAATTTAATCAGAGGTTCGATGAAATTTTTGGATGACATGGGGGACATACAAGCTAAATCATCACATTTCAAATGATTTTTCATATCTTCAACAATCTCGTACTGTGATTCCCAATCAAGCTCAGTAAGGCTACATAGAGATTCCACATCCATTTTGCTTGCATTGCTAGGATTTTGATATTGGCAAAGATCATCACTGATCTGCTCTCGTATCAATCTTGAGCCATCAGCAACCTTGTTTCGTGATCCATCAGAATTATAACTGTTATCTAAAGATCCAATCGAGATGTTGCTGATGTCCACAGGAAAGCGCATATCATTTATAGAACTGCCGAAACTAGCTATGGAACTGGAAGAATTTTCCAATGAGTGAAGTGTATCTGATTGCAAGCTTGGGTCCTGAATGGTGATTCCGTACTTCATGCACCATTTTGATATCATATCCTTCATGACAGCATTTGGTGTCAATGACAGATGGAGCAGTTTCATTTCAGTTTTTGGGCACATATCATTACCATCATCAAACCACTTATGGATCCAAACCCTTTCAAATGTTTGTCCAGAAGCAATGACAACAGGATCATACATCAATCTTGAAGATATGGGGCATTTAAATTCCTCAGGAGGTGAAACTCCACTTAACTTATCAGCTTGAGCATCATACTGCTTATACTCATGAGAATCCACATCAACAGAGTGAGCGGATACAAAATTAGTACCAGGGTTGTCAACTGTAAATGCTCCTTCATTATTATCAACTGTGTTATCCGTTTGCTCTTCGATAATCAAATGACTGTACTTCCTCAAAAGATACAAAAGATATTTTAAGATTTTCTTCTTTTGTATGTCAGCATCGCCAACTTTTTCCAGCAATTTCTTAATAGACCTTTTCTCTATCAAGATGGCTGTTGAAGATGTAATATGGAGTTGTGATGCTGCAGTTTGAAGAGCTCTCATTTCAGCATATTCCATTGAATCTGGCGTTGCTGCTCCCTTCTGAAGCAACTCTCTAACAACCTTCCCAGCCTCCGCATCAAATTTATCAGGGATAAACTTTGCAGCTCGCAAATCATCAACTATTTGAGAGATCTGCACTGACATTTCATTATCAGCTTGATCACAGAACTGAACTTACGGAAAAAAGGTATCTCAAACAAAAAATATAATTGATTTGACGGTAAGGTGATTCCAATGGGGCCTGGAAGTCACAGGTTCAGGAAGAAAAATAGCTTTATGAAAGCAGGGTTAGGCATACATCTGACCCTCATGAGCACCAAAAGAATTAGCTTCATTCACTTAGCTGCCCTTTTTCCTTTTAACTATCTTAAATTTTGGATGGTTTTTTCCTTTTAACAGAATTCACGGTTGCTTTTCAAAATTTAGTAAAGTTCGAGCATGGAAACAAGGTTAAATTAAATCAACAAGCGGAAAAAAAAACATGGCTTTCTGGAAAATGTCCTAGTTTACATATTATCTAAATTTGATATTTTGGCAATGTCCGATCATCCTCAATCACTATACTAGGAACAGTTCACCCCATATATCTGGGAATTAACATGTCTATACAAGAGTTCAGTAGGCTCATTGCAAAAAATGCCCAAGATAAAAGGCAAGCTATTTAAAAACACATGGGATTTGATCAACCGTTTACCAGCCACTTGCTTGGGACAATGGGAAACAAAAATAAAAGAAATTATAGAGAAGGAAGATATGTAATTTGACAAACCTCAACAGCCAGCATAACTGGAACCATACTCTGAATCTGGCATAAACCTTGTTCCAACAAGTTCTTTGCTTTTTGACATCTTGAAACTATGGCATCTGTTGTTATTGCCTGAAAATAGTTGCAGAGAACTATTAACCAAATGATATTAACTTGATCAATTGAATAAGTGATAAAATAAAGAGAAAGCATTCCATGGAGGATCTATCTCCATAAAAGAGGCCAATAATGCAAAATTTGAACCCTTAAGAAGACTACATATCATCAGATATTAAACATAGCCATACAATAGCCAGATACTCCTAGTTTTAAAATAGCAATAAAACTTCCCTTCATGATAAGTGAGTCAATAAACATGAAAATATGACTAATTACAAAAACGCACCAGATACAGTTTACTTGACTCGCTGCAGTACTGAAGAAGCAACTTAGCTTTCTCAATTGCATTATTCAGTGAGCATAGTGCCTTTATTCCCGACGAGCATCTAGGTCGAGCAGCTTCAATCTCTGGAAATATCCTTAGAAATCTATCAACAAACTTCCTAAGCTCCATGCACATCACGTGGTGCACCTACAATCAAAGCAAACCCATGTTGGATGAAGATCAAAAACCTTAAAACAGATATGGTATGATGATATGATCCTTTCTATATAAGCAGAAACATAAGAAAATTTAAGATATCTCGCAAATGTGCATAATTACATTCAGTGACGATCAAACTACAAAGCTATCGTTTGGATTGTAAAGATTATTTCAAAAATACGTATTTTTCAAAAACATAGGATGCAGATCGAATACGGATACTTATATTAAAGTTCCATGTTAGAACATAAAAAAGAGAACCGCATTCGGGAATTGTACCTTAAAGGAACTAGGATAGGAATAAGACGGAGTCTCCACAACTTCGGTAGTATCAGTCCCCATTCAAAAGATATATCCTGACTTATAAACAAAAACACGTCAAACAATTAAACAGATCAAGAACTGCAAACCACCTCATCTTCACAAGCTATAAAAGATGAAAACCCTTTTTCTATATTGATTCTTTATGTGACATTTTTTAAGTGTAGCTTTATGGTTTGCATTAACTATGCATCTTTAGCTCACAGATTTCGTGCTAAACTTCAGTCAACGAAGAAATATATACAAAACATATCAACCTGGCATCCAGGAAATGGTCCCCAACCCAACCCCCACCAATTAGCATGCTTAGTCACGATAAACATAACAATATGAAAAATGATTTTGACTATTTATTTCATTAAGATATAATATTTGAGGCTAATTTTAAACCTAACCATGATATAAGTTACAGGAATTTGAGAACATATTAGAGGGAAAGGGAAGAGAAACTCACCTATAGATGCGGCAACCAGAGCAATGATGAGAAGTTTCTATTTTTTTCTTCTTCTTTGTGGATGCGATTTTTGAAGTTATAGAACAACACCAAAGGTACAAGAACTTGAACCAACAGAACAAGCAGAGATAAAAAAAAAGCAAAATAAAGAGTAAACAAAATCCTCGTAATTCAATTCAGAAGTAAAATTCCTGCAGCTCTACCATAGATAAGCAACCTAAAAAGAAAACAATAATTCAAAAAAAGCTTTAAAGATGAGCAAGCCGATTGCATAATCCCCTCCCTCAATAAACAGCTTCTCTTTTTGGTTGCTTACGGGATAATCCTAACACTCAAAACTCCATCTTGGTAGTATTAATAATTAAATTTTAAAAAGAAAAGACTCCAAGAAAAGAAAATGATTGCCAATTAGAAACTTTAGCTTTTAGAAAACTAAAAACCAGGAAGAAAGAAAATAGATGGACAACGAAATCCTTTGCAAAGAAGAAGATGATGAAATTAGAAAAAGCACGAAATTTTCTTAATTTTGATTTGTAGACAATCATAAAAAAAGATTAAAAAAGACCAGTCAAAGGGCTATCCCTATCCTTCTACAATCTCCACTGATAGATACCCAGCTTCACATTCTTCTAAATCATTTTTAAGCTTCGCCACTGACCTCTTTTAAAGTTTTCAAACGTTCCTAACAGTCGCACCAGTTATGCCCACACGCTTGTGATGTATAAGATTATTTACAACCGTTGATCTTATTCGGGGTTTCTACTTTATTAAATCCAACGGCTGACTGAGGGTTTGGGGGTCGCTCGTGATGCTGACCAAATAGACGCTGACGTTTCCACGCTCTGACATAGCAGTCTCTCTTGAACGGTCAAGCTGCGAGGTAATTTCGTACATTTGATTGTATATATATTTTGATACGTTATTAATTAATATATTTTTTAGGATATATTTTGATACGTTATTAATTAATATATTTTTTTAGGATTTTGTCCTAATTTTCTTTTTTACTTGTTCACTTTTAGTTTTTTTTCTTTTTATTTATCATCTATGGTTGCATCAACCTTAATAATAGTAGATTGTTTGTATTTTTTATTTTTTTATTATTTTATATTATATTTTTATTTTTTTCTTATTTTTTAATTATCATGGTGCGAGGTAATTTCGTACATTTGATTGTATATATTTATATATTTTGATACGTTATTACTTAATATATTTTTTAGGATTTTGTCCTAATTTTCTTTTTTTCTTGTTCACTTTTAGTTTTTTTCTTTTTATTTATCATCTATGGTTGCATCAACCTTAATAATAGTCGATTGTCTGTATTTTTTATTTTTTTATATTATATTTTTTATTTTTTAATTTTAATTATTATACTTCTATGACATTTTTTTTTGTCTTTATATTATATTTTCGATCGTTTGATAGTTGTTTTCATTTATTTTTTATATGGTTAGATTTGACATCGTCACAACTGATCTAGTAGCGTTTATTTGTTATCATGTTAATCTTTCATGTTTTGGACTTTCGAGTTGGATTGGATGCGTGATTTACGTTTGTAGATAATTTTTCACGTTGTTCAACTCTGGTTTGCAATTTGTTGATGGTCTTTCAATACCTTGATCCATTTTATGATTCGTTTACCAATGCGATCAGATCTATTCGTATTTATCATTTGTTCGAGTTTATTTAGTAAGATTTTTAATTTTTCTCTTTATATGGTTGTTTTTTATATTAAGTTGCTTGTTTTCTTGAGTTAATGATTATAAGAAAACATCTCTATTATCTATTTAGTTCACAGTTACAGTTGTAAATTATCATTATAATTTAATTTTTTTTATTTTTAATAAAATTAGTAGTTTTTATTAAAAATAATATATTTTGATACGTTATAAACTTATAATAAAATTAAAATATTTATATTTATATTTATTTAAATTGTGAATAAATCATGTTTATATAATCTTTAAAGTATTTTGATAAAAGTAATAAGCTTTCTTGTTTAATTTTATTTAAGTTAAAATTATTAATTTTTTAATCAACAAAATTTGTGATAAAATAATAAGAAATATTATTTTAATATTTATTAATATTAAATTTCGGAATCAATCTCAAACAACTATTCCTTTATTTTTATAAAAAAGTTAAATATTTTATTTTTCTTTCCTCGATAAATAATTATAATTTTAGTGACATTTAATTAAACAGTATATGTTTTAAACTTAAAAATTATACGTTAAAATCAATTAAACAAATATTAAGTGTTAAGTTGAAAAAAATTTGATGCTTAATTTCATCCAAAAAAATTAGGGACCTAATTATATTATTAAAAAAACACATACCTAATTGTATTATTAAAAACTAAATATTTAATTATACTAAAAATAAATATCACATTACACATAAATACTTATAATTTCCTTTATTATTATGTTAATTTAAAGTTTATGTCCCTTTAGTGACTAAATGAAATAGTTGTCGACTCATAATGAATATAAATTGTAGTTATCCGTTTTCGTCCATGATTCAGGGTGGAAATAAATAGAGCGTTCAGTGAACCGTTTATATAACATTCATTTATGTTTGTTTGCTAAATTAAATAAACAAGTGTGAATAAAATTTTATATTCATTTAATAAATGAAAAACACGAGCATAGTGTGTTCGATTTGTTTATGTTCATGGATAAACTTATTTATGAGCTCATTTATCGATTCGTTCGTTTATGTTTAATAACAAACTTGTTTAATGTCTTGTTTACAAGCTTGTTTTAGAATCTCATTTACTTTTTAAATTTTTCATTTTAAATATTGGTGAATATATAAAATAAATTGAATACAAAGTAAATTTGGGAGTTTAAACTATGAAGTTTAAGGGCTTTGAGCACTAGTGGCAAAGTTTTACCATTTTTTAGCTTGCAAATGAACATGTTTACTAATGCTAAATGATCATGTTTGCGAATGTTAAATAAATATATCACGAATGCTAAACGAATATGTTCGCAAAATCTAAACTAACAAATAAAAACACCTTAAAAATAAATAAATGAACACGAACACAATATTAAAAATTTAAACGATCATTATTAAACATAAACATATTTAAAAAATAAATAAACGAACACGAATATACTCTTGTTCATTCAAGTTCAATTCATTTAAACTTCTTATTTCCTATGAGATTTTTTTTATTAAGCTACAGGTGATTATAAAGTAGTATTTGTTCTAAGTACTCTCAACCATTTGACAATGAAAATTCAATCACCATTGTAGTCATTGGTATTTGAACCCATGAACCCTAAAAATAATAATGTTTCTTTTAATCTCTGCTAAGTCGGTTTGTGCTTATTCTTTTATAGTTAAAAAATAACAATCTTAGTTTTTTTAATAAATATTTAAATAAATAAGACTCGTGAGATCATGATAGTCTATAAAACCTGAATAACAAAAGTTTCGCTATCAGTGTATTGGTTAATAATCTGTTATATTTATTTAAACATGTAAAAGAAAACTTTAGTAGGAATGCATACTTACCACCGATTTAACTAGGATGGCAACGGGCGGGTTCGGGTCGGGTATTGGTCCCCCGTTTCCGTCTCCGTTTAAAAAATTTGTACCGTTCCCGTTTAAAAAACCACGGGATTTAAACGGGGATTCACATCGGGTAATCGGGGAAAACCTCGGGGAAACGGGTATCCCCGTTTAGCATAAACGGTTATTTAAACGGGTATCGGGCCGGGTATCGGGCCGGGTATATATATTTAAATTAAATATATAAATATTATATATATTTTTTAATTTAAATTAAATTTATTAATATTATATATATATATATATAATAATTATTTTTAATATTTATCGGGTCGAGTATCGGGCCGGGTATCGGGTAATCGGGGCGGGATTACTAAACCCGTCCCCGTTTAACATAAACGATTTTTCCCCATCTCAGTCCCCGTTTAACATAAACGGTTTTTTCCTCCCCGTTTAATTCGGTTTTCAGTTTTCCCCGTCGGGTACGAGTTTTTTTGCCCTCCCTAGTTTTAACTAGTAGAAAAAAAATTCCTAAACAGTGCACTTGAAAAAAAAGATGGGTAAACAGCATGTTTAGTAATTTAACTATCACATTTGTTTTGTTTTGATTATCTAATAATTTTTTTGTTTTAAAAACATACTCAATGTTATGTTTTGATTTCATTTCGGTCACATACCGTTAAAAATTAAGTTGGCATATGGTTAATGGTTTCCAAAGATGTCATAATCACCTTTGGTCATATAATTAATTTGCATATATATTCATATTTTTTTGTTACCCTTCCGGTTCCAATACTTCACATTGTTTAATTTGAACTAACCCGCGACACACACCTGACTTTGGTGGGTGAGTTTCCTAATAGTGATTTTTTGTATACATAATGACTCGAATTCGATACATTGCTTAAACTATATCAAGTTGCTTACCACTTGAATCAACCCTTTAGTTAATTTGCCTATATATTTATTGATAAATTTATGTTAAAGACTCTTAAAACTTTATAGAATTATAAGTTAATACAATGTAATTATATTTAATTCCTTAAAAAGTACTTTCTAAATTTTATAAAATTAAAGTCAACTCAATAATAAAATTATATTTTATATTCCATAAAATTCAACAGTTCATATTCCCCTCCTTAAAAAGTTGTCTCGTGGCTGATTAGTGATTATTTTATCTTCATAATTGTCGTATTTTAGCATAAAAAAGAAGATGAATGAAAATAGTTCCATCCATATCCATGGTGTCTTAACATCCTTTTTAACGAACAAATAAGTTTTTGACGAAAATCCTAAATTATGACTTATTTAGAAAAAAATTGAATTTGTGTGTTTATTTTGATTAAATTGATTTGAAGTCGTCATCAACCTTTGAGTTTGATAGGTCGAACACCTAAAAGCATATTTTAAACAATTACAAGAAAAATCGTTTTTAAACAAAAAATTGATATGCGTTTGTCAAAGATTCATTTTAGGTTCGGGAGTCGATTATGTGTGGGGAATGGTTAACACCCCCACAACGCCTAAAAATTAGTATCTAATCGCTTGTATGTTGTCGTGGTAGTGGAAATTATAATTCGAATATAAAATTAAATTATGATCAATTTATTGAACATTGATTAATTAAATTCAAGTTCGTTTTTCGTTTAGATGTCATCGAATCGCACTTCTACTATAGAGTGAGGCTTTTCAGGTAGCATTCTTGAAAATGGATGTGAATAGAAACCATGATATTTATATAAGGTAAAATAAATCAGTAAAAATTGACAGCACAACCTTTTATACACTAAACAAAATATTTTAGAACTATAACAAAATGAACAAAGTATATATATCACAGCTACACGTATGAA